CCCCAAAACCCCAAAACCCCAAAACCCCTCCTAAAGGCCATGCCTAGAAAAATATAATATGAGTTTAAATAGATCGTATAACTTACAGGGTAAGGCTAGAACCTGATTTATAGAACCTTTGCAGCAGGCTGAACTACTGCTGAACGGTAGTGATGCTTTCGAAATTTCTGCCAGTTCAGGAAGAATGGAGGTGAATGAAGGGAGTGAAGTGTCTAGTGAGAAAGATAGCACAGAGAATGTAAAGCTGGCGTTTAGGTCGAAGAAGGATTTTGTGATAGGGGCGTTTTGGTTAGGGGTTCTTATAGTGAGCTCAGCGACGATAGGGCCGATTATGTTGGCGATGCCAGCGAAGAGTACTTATGTGTCAATTTTATGGAGGTCACAAAGCTCTTGTCTTTTCATGGCTATATGGTCAGCCATAAGCTATTTCAAGTACAGCAGACAGAGAGTACCTCAAAGTTACGAAGCCTCAGAAAGCAGAAGACTCAGCACATGGTAGGCACATTTTGGTGTATTTTCCTAAACTGACCTTTCCATTTAGGGAAAAAATGAAAAAAGATTCATCTCCCAAGAATTTGGTTAGCTTCTCATTCATGTCCTTCTTCCTATTCGTGTGGGTGTTTGGCCTCATCCTTGGATGCAAGTTCACCCTTACTGCTCATGCAGATGTGCTTTATTGCAACAACGGATTGTTCATCTTGCTGATTGCAATTCTGACTTGCCAATATGTTCACAAATATGAAATAATTGGATACGTTGTTTATGGAGTTGGTATACTAGTTATGATAAGCGACCCAAATGCTACAAAAACCAATAATGATATGGACAAATCACTAGGAAATTTCCTTGCACTCACTGGTGCTCTTTGAGGAGCCTTATACGGAATTGTTTCAAATAAGATGAAGCGAGATAGTCCGCAAGAGGTGTGCATGTTCTATTTGTTCCTAGGCCATTTTATTATCCAATTAATATTCTTTCCTCAAGTTGAAGACAATTCTCTCCTCTTCAGTTTTGATCCAGAGTACGGAATGTTTGGTTGGCTCTCAGATTTTTGGCTATTTTTGCTGGTGTTTGGATTCATGTGCCCATGGACTAGTGTTCTGACAAACTACTCGTTACTCCAATCATACAAGTATTGGACTCTGGATATTGTAGCGGTGTCTTATCTCACAGAGCCATATTTTGCTCAAATAGCAGCTGTTTTATTTGGACAAGATGAGATTCCAGGATCACAAACATTCATTGGGATTATCATCTTAAGCATTGGAATAATCCTATCAATTCACGGGTCTAAATGCAAGACATTACACAGAATCAACAGTCAATCAAATGACTCAGAACAAAGCGCTATCGAACTCGCTAGTAATTAACTTTTGTCCTAAGCTTTCCCTCTACTAAAAGACACATACAAAATTCTTTCAAATTCTAATTTCGGTCTATAAACCCAAAATTCCTTCACAAACGCTAAAGTCTATCTTCTCCAACAAAATAATGGCCTATTCCAAGGCTCCCTCCCTTCTCTCAATATTCTAATATTAGGTTTCACACCGACTGGCGTTTCCATTGGTTCTAATTTTTTCATTAGACAAATAAGGTAAGACTACATCTTTATTCCTTCTGCATTAGAGTCTTCACCAGCTAAAAAGAGAGCTTGAGAAATTAGAGATCTTATTCAACTCTCAGCTCGAGCAAGTACTCAATGCTTAGGATGAAACCTAGTGGATAGAAATAAAAGCCTGCCTTATGTGGGTGATTATGAAATGAAAGATATTCGAAAGAATCTAAAGCTAGAAAGATACATAAGAAACCCAAAGTACTTTATTATCTAAGGTCTAAGAGGGCAAAAAGGGGCTTTAAAGGCAGCTTAGGAGCTATTGAGGCTGTTTTAGAGGGAAATAAGTGGGATTAGTGGGGTTAGTGGGGGCTTGGATGGTAAGGGGCTTGGGGTGAGGAGGATGGGTGTTGAGGAGGGGAGATGGGGAGAAATGGATGGGGACTTGGAGGTGGCAGGATTAGGAGGAAATTGGGATTTTGGATATGAAGGTCAAGGGAGGATTTTGGGAAGTGAAATGGTGTGAATAGGAGTTTTGAGATGTAGTTTACTAGTATAACAAGAAAGATTGGAAGGTAAGGGTGTTTGTATATACTATTATTTGACAACTGATTTGAGAGAACAGCATTTTATCTACAAAGCTCTCTATCAAACCCCAGCTACACAAAAAGAGACAATTGAGAGATAACTTAGAGAGTTATGGTTTCATAATATCAAAACGACTCAGTTACGCATGATCTAGAATATTTTCAAACAAAAATATTGTGAGCGTTAGGCTTTGAGAGATATTTCCCGTAATGGTCAAAGTGCTTTCTTTATCTTAGAGCCTAGTATCATAACGACCTAATATGATATCTACGACAGTGAGATGTACAGATCTATGAATAATATATCTGTTTTAATTATATTTTCTCTTAATTTTTACCAATTGAAAAAGTAATTGAGTTAGCTGCAAACTTTACAATACCTGTGGTTGATCCAATAAGAGTAAATACCATTTTAAAATTGTGATTTTTAAAGGTAGTAGTTCAGTAATAATAGCACATCTACATTAATAATGGGACTCTCTTTTATAAATGGCCAACTTACGTAGAATAGGATCTTCTGTCCTTAGCTCAATCACTGGTATTGTGATATTAGTTATGAATTCCATAATTTTAAAACTCGATATATTAATGTTGCATATTGCCTTTTTAAATTAAGACTCGGGGTTTTGGGGTTTTGGGGTTTTGGGG